TATAGCTGTTGTTAAAATGTGGTTCCCAGACCTGTAGCATCAGCATCATTTGGGAACTTGTGGAAAAAAAATGTAAATTCTAGGGCCCCACCTCAGACCTACTGGATCAAAAACTCTGGGGTTTCCAGGAGATTCTAACACATTCTGAAGTTTCAGAACCACATTAAAGAAAAATAATATGAGACAGCTATGGCCATATTGGCAAAGGACCTATTTGAGGAATTGATTCTTTAGTTAGGCCTTTGGAGAGCTTTTCAAAGGTTTTGAGGGGAAGAACACTTCTATACTGTAGCAGTATTTTGGAGCTGCAAAAGATCAGTGTAGAAAGAGCCGGTAGGACTCTGTTTTAAGTCTAACAGTCAGGTATCCAAGCCAGAAGTAAGGCAGTGAGAGGAAGTATTAATTGCTAGAATCTATTCTTTAGGTTACCTGTGGATTAAAAAGAGGGGGAACTGTCAAAGGTGACTCCATACTCAAAACTTGAGAGGATGATAGGGAACTTTTTGTTATTGCTGTTGAGTGAGAATAGGGAGCTAAGTTTGGTTTTTAAAGTGTTGCATTCGTTTGAACTACCACTACTACTATGTTTGTAATCTTGGCCAAGAAAACTTAATCTCTTTTTGCTTCAGTTTCTTCACATGTAAAATGGGTTTAATTGTTTACTTCCTAGGGCTGTCATAAGAATGAAAATATAAGTAAAAGGAATGTAATATAGGTAGGAAGAATCTAGCTTAGTGAATTACTGGTGCTTGATTATTCAGTAGCTATTAGTATGGATGAACTGAACTGTTGGAGATATGTCACGAGTTTTTGATAGGGAGCAGGGATGGTTAGAAAGATTTGGGATTCTTGCAGCAAGTTGTTAGTGGAAGCTCTGGGAAGAGAAGAAATTATTGTAAGAAGACAGCATGAAATATTAGGGGTAGAACACTTAGCCTAGAGGAAATACCTGCATTTATTGGTTGTAAGGAGGAAGAAAAGATGGAGGACAAGTAATCAGAGATGTGCCAGGACCACATCCTTTTACTAAAGCTCATCTGTTGTCATCTATTTGCACTTTCCTACCCATTCTGCATATTAGAGTTGTAATGTATTGTGGTTTTGGAAGTCTAATCTAATCCTTTAGCCTGTGCAAGAATATTTAAATGTCTCTTTTGGTGTTGAGTTCACTTTTCCACAAGTCAGCCAATTCCTTTTTGGATGTCTTTGATTATTAAAATGTTTTTCTTCATATGTATCCCAAACCTATTATCTCTTAAAGTTTTGTACCTTATTTAATTCCTTCCTATGTTAGGATCCCATTAGCCTCCCTTCTTCCTTCTTTCAAAGCTCCCTGTATCTCCTTGTACAGAAAGACTTTCATTGCACCCAATGTAAAGAATACTTTACAATCATTTTTCATATTACTGTTGTATCTTCACATGGGTCTTAATTCAGATCTATCACTCTTAATACTTTAAAATCATAGCCAGAAAGTCAAATGACGAAATGGAAAACTAATCTTGAAAAATGATTAACACGCATTGATATATTTTACCTATTTTGACGTGTATGTACCGTTACATTTAGCTCCGAACACGGGGCTCCCAAATTTCTTGAAGTTGTAACCTGTATACCTGCCTCATTTCATCATATCATCTACTCATGTCCCCCTGTAATCTGTCAACCATAAATATCTCAATAACAGTTAAAGAGAAATAAATTTATTTCAATAGTTCATTACACTTCATTATACGTTCGAAGATATGTGAAGGTATCACAGAACCAGAGCTGAGAATTATTTTTCCTGGAGCTCTAAGACCATTCCATATTTGCCCTTGAATAGAACGTGGTACAACCCAATAAATGGGGACAGTTGTTAAGAATAATATGCAGTAGAAAAGATAGAAAGTAATGAAGAAATGATCCAAGTCAGGGAGCTTGAGAAAGGACTAAGGAAAAAAGGATTATTCGCATGAGAGGCATGTTGTCTGGTTGCTGTTTATATGTATACAAGTACTGGGATGGGACTGATATAGCTAAAACCTACCTGTTATTAAGGAAAATGTTACACATAGGCTCGGAATTACTCAGCCAGCTTCATTCCTATTCAATAATTTCCACATGAACCTGAGTTAACACTTAAGTGAGGTATCTACTGAAATCGTTCATTGAATAAAAAAAACAACAGATAATGTAGTTCTTGACTTACTGTGCACAGTTGAATAATAATTTTGTTTTTCTTTTGATAATTATATAAAAGTATAATGCACAGAGCAGATGTCATTTCCCCATCACCACCTTTTACTGTTTTAAATAGTGTTGTCTTTCTGGTTTTGTTCTTTTTTGTGGGAATTTTCCATCCATAACAAACAGTCCTAACTAGATACTTCATAAAATTCACGATTTTCTGACTGGAATATTACTATTCATACACTAGGCCCATTTATTTTATTGATTTTATTGTTTATAAAAATAACATGTTTATTGCCAAAAGTTCAGGAAATAAAAGAATAAAGAAGGAAATATATATTGTAGTCTGTACTCCCCTTTAATGTAACCATTGTTAATGGTGTTGTATAGCTTTCTGTGTTTTCTATATTTATATAAAATTTTTTACAAAAGTAGAATTGAAGTACATTAGCTATTTTTAAACTTTTTTCTACACAATTTTTATACCCCATGCTAATGGGAATATACATAATGTACAGTTTTTCATTGGTTTAAACAGTACTGCAACACACATGTTGCACATTTATCTCTGTGCTCTTACCCAGTCATTTTCTTTTGGCAGCGAAAGTAGAATTTGGGAGTCAAAGTTAAATACTTCATATGGGTCACTTTTTAAAAGATATTGCTAATCTTATGTTAGTGAGTGTGGGAAGGCTGATGAAAAAGTAGTAAAGTTATATAATTTTCTGCCATTAAGTAACATTCAGCTATAAAATTTAAGAGTAACCAAATTATTACTTTCTCATCAAAAATCAATTTCACTTTCTCATGGAGAAACAATTCTGGTTTTTGGAATTGTGTATTCAAAAAGAGCATAGCGAAACTGTGAAAAAGCAGGATGAATCAAATTACACTGAACGTTACACTGGAAAACACCATCTAGCCCTAAAATTTTCAACTAGTCACAATGATTATGTCATACAAGAAAATGGAAAGAAATTGGTGGGTAGAAATCAATGTGTAATTCGTTGTCAAGAGTAGATAGGCTGAAAGAAGGGTACAGTCATCATATTGAGTGCTTTAGTATAGTTAGCAATGATTTGAGTAAATAAAGTAAATGATAAAAAGTGGTTATACTCTTTGTATAAACACTGTGTTTTCTCCCTCCAAACCTGGAACTCAGAAATCTGCTCGCATATTTTTTTGGCGAGCAAAATGAATACTTGGATTTGAACTAACTTTGCTTTGACGCTTGGCTCATAGAAATGGCTGTAGGGACACTACGTAGCTATCAGAAGAATCAGAATCAAAGTAATGTACCTTTGGGGACATAGTAATCTCCACTTATATAGAATGGGAGACATTTGACCAGTTCCATTACTGTAGCTGATCCACATTAATGTGATTTTTCAAAAAACTGGCAGCCTCTTATTCGTGGTAGGCAAGTATCATAATGATCATTTTGATTCATATCTGAGACCCCTGAGGTTTTAAGTATTACAATGTCTTGCTTCTTTTTTGTCCTAACTCTTTCTCTTCACCATCACTCAGTTCAGCTATAGTAGAGGTTATAGTTTAAATGAATGGTCACTCATATAAACTAAAGTCTCCCATTATCCTACAGTGGCTGTGGTCCAGAGTACCTCTTCATCATAGTCTCTGGGATCTGTGCTTCTTTTGATGCAAGTGCTCATTCTTTACAGTTTGAGCCTTATTTTCCAGGCAAAAACATGATGAATAATAGGCAAAGGCACCCATTCCCTTTCATTTAGGTACCTAGGAAGAAAGTAGATCACTGTTCAGACCATTTGCTAAGTCCTGCCTGCAATCCAGGATAGATTTTGACCCAATGTATTTGTATAAAACACCCTGGAAAATTCTAATCCATTAGTGTTGGAATAAAAGGTTATTCTCTCTTTTAAATGTGAAGTGTATTTTTTAAACCTTGGAATAATAGATATTTTTAATGTGTTTCTTTAAAGCATACTTCTAGGATTTCAGATAACTGCATAACCAGCATGTCTTAAAAGCAAAGTAACAAAAATTATTCTGTGTTCAAAAATTTAAAAGGATGATAAGTAATTTAACATGGATAACAGTAGAGCCAGGTTTCAGGACATTTATCAAGTACTTCTGTTTAATTATACAATATGTTTTGAGGTGATATTCAAATAAAATGGCTTCATTAAATTTAGCACATTATATTTTAAGTTTATAGGGTCTTTTGGAACACATTTCCAATAGCTGCTGCATTAGAGTAGCATTACCTTGTCATTTCTTATTCTATCTTTATATCGTGGTTAAAGGTTTATTTTATTGATGCTGTCTTCCCCGCTCAGAATGTTTCCTTGGTGTGTCACTACCAGCTACTGGTAGTATAATGTCAGTCTAACTTAGGGACACTTATCTCTAAAAGATGGTGATGAGAAAGCATGTGGTGTAGTTCTTAAGCTCAGGACATTGCCAAATCCTTGTTTCAGGCATGTGGATTTTTAAATTGTTACTTGTGAACAAAGCTTGGATCTAGACCTTGTGCAGCATTAATGATGACATAATTTCTTTAAATTCTAAATTACTCCATTGGTAGGATACCATTTTAGTCTCTGCTTAGACTGGTAAATGTCCATTATGTTATCTCATAATGATATGGACTCTAAATGCAATAACATGGTTAATCAACTCAAAAATAAAATTTCTTTCTTGAGTTTTTATCTCCTGAAAATTGATAGGATGGTACACCAATTATGTGATTTTCTTTTTTTTTCTTACTAATCTTATTAAAGGGGGAGAACATTAAATCTTTGAATACTGTACCTCAATTTTATTGTAATGATTTTGCTGGTTACCAGGTGGGGTGGCAGTTGAAAAATTTGGTGAATGCACTACGAGAGGACCCGAGTGGTGTTATCTTAACTTTGAAAAAGCGACCTCAGAGCATGCTTACCTCAGCACCAGCTTTACTGAAAAATATGAGATGGAAGCCCCTTGCTCTGCAGGTAATGAAGCTTAATCATAAGTCATACACCATCATTTTAGCCATAGATTATCTCAGTAATGCTTCTTTATTGTGCCTCATCTCAGCAGCATATGGATTAATCTTGTATGCTTTTGAAAATTTGTTTATGAAATGATCTCTTCACAGCTTATCCTAATAGGCTTAATTGTGATGAAATCTCAAAGTTACTATAATTAAAACCCAAATGATAGAGAACTCTGCCTTAATTTGGAAACATTTAAAGCATAATTCCCAAAAACCACAAGTTCTTTGAAGCCAAAATGTGGATAGAAATGAAAGTGAGAGGTTTCACTTTGTGATACAATCTTCTATTTAAAAGTTTTACCCACATATAATTCTTGAGGAAACTAGATGATAGTTTATAGAATTTTTTAAAAACAGGTCATGAGATAAAAAATAGTTGTTTATAAACAGTAGGTAAAGAAACTTTTGATAGTAATTAAAATGTACCTATCACATTCTTCCTGACTGATCATTTTTCTCTTTTCTACCATGTACGGAGGCAAAAATAGGGAAATTGATGCGTTAGAATTTCTGCATTTTTCTTCAATGTGAAATGTCACTCCAAAATTACTCTGGATGTCAGTAAATTACATTCATTAAGAACCAGAGGTATCTAGGAAGTTATAAAAATATTATTCTGATTGATAAAGACAAGGAAGTAATACATTTTCTTCCATTTCAGTCAGGCTATAATCTTCAAACATATCATAGAAGAAATTCTTGTTCTTCACAAGACCTGCACTTTTAAAATAGAAGACCATCACCTTCCATAGAAGGTTAATTTTTAAAAATTAAAATTGCCCATTGAAATAGAACATTGCCTGTTGTTCAGATTAAAAAGAAAAGCAATAAATGGAAATGCCATTGTTATCACTGCTATGTAAATTGTTGTTCTATATTAGTAACTTACACCATTCTTAGATTTTTTTCCCTAAAATCCTAAATTCTTCATTACATATGAATGGCCTTATAGATTATAATGATTTCTTATTGTTTAAAACTTTCCTACTTCTTGGCCTCAAAGTTGCATTATGCTTAAGTAACATAAAAACATATAAAATATACTAACATTAAGGTCTTTAAATTTTTAATGTGAATCTTTCTATTTTTCAAATATACGTAAAACTATATTTTAAAACTATATTAATATGTCCAAATGCATTTGAAATGCAGTATATGTTTATTATCAAAGATTTTTGGTGATCATTAAAGTTGAGAGATCAGTGTTTGGGTCATTAATTCATAGATTAGCAGATCAGACCTTCCCATCACATCATTTTATTTTCTCGCTGCATTATAAGTTGCTTTGTTGTTCCACTCTGTAGTTTTCTATTGACATGTCTTCCCCAAAGATCCTTCTTCAGAGTCCGAGAGGTGGGAACCCTGAAGAAGAGACCCCTTTCAGCCATTAGGTTTCCTTCTCTATATGTGTGGTTAAATTTAACAACTTCTCTCTAGTACCTTCTGTTTCATGGTGAACACCAAAAAGACACTAGTTTCTTGTTGATCCGTGAACTCTATTTGAGGGAATATCTCTAGAAAATAAATTGGTGATTTGGTCCTCTTTTAGTTTCCTTTCCACAAGCACAAACTGGAGAATTAAGGTAATGACAATATCTAGTTAAGAATCACTTTTATAGGAAATGCTGAAATAATTGAAAGACCTGCATTTTTTTTTTGCTACACATACATTTGGTGTGTGTATTCAAAACTAGAGAACAAAGACTTTAATTTTTTAAATTACTCTACATCATTCCTTAATTATAATTGTAATAGATGTTTAAGGCACTGTTTCTAGTTTCATTCCTAAATGCCAAGAAATGTGCCTCGTCAGATCACTACTTATATTTATTCCTCATTGCCTATTCAGTTACTCTGAGTATATTTGTAAATTTACTTTTTCGGAATGCTAAAATCAGAAAAAAAGAAAATCAGCATTGACATAAGTGCTTATATGATGTATTGACGTTTTTGTAAATTTGTTATTTCAACTGAATTTAGTTCACCTAAAATGTATTGTCCAAGTTCAACGCCTTATAGATAAACAATACTATTAGTGGGGGCAGGGGAGGACCCTGCTTTCAACTTCTTTGAAAATTGACTTTTTACAGAGCAGAAGGAAGAGTATTCGTTTTGATTAAATACTTTCAAGTGGTGGTAAAACAAAGTCTTAGGAGTAAGGGCACTAGATAAGTACTCTAACATACCACACCACCAGCACCAAATCTCCCTGGAATCTATTTCGAAGACCTGAAATTGTACCATTACAGAGTTTGTTTTTGATCTTAAGGCTTTGGCTTGTGCTAAAATGCAAAAAGAAACCAGAAGCATAATGGAAACTATGTGGTCAGAATTTTTAGAGGATGTATACAACCAAAGATGGACAAAACTTGAGGGTTCGCTTCCAGAAGGGGAAAAATCAAAGAAATAGTGGGATGAGAAGGTCTTGCAGGCAGTTCTGGATTCTTTGTGACTTTGCCTGAGGCCACATATTTTTCCTAGTGGCTAAGAAAGGACCTGGGATGTGAAACATAAGTGCTTAATGTAGCAACAGCCCTCTGTGCAGACATAAGTACCATTCTTACTGTATTCCTGCTTCTGGTATGTGTATGAATACGTTGGAGCTAAAATGCCCATTAACTCACCTAAATATAAATTTTCAGTGTCCGAACCTGAGGAATTGGACATTAGGTTATTCCTTTTTTCATAGGCTATACCAATAGTCTACTAAGAATTATTTAAAATAGAGTTTACAAAAAGAAACAATCTGTGGCATTTATTTAACCTCAATATGTCTATTTTATCTTTTTCTTATACAATACCAGCCTTAGCATTTTCAGATAAAATATGGCATAGTTTGTATAATGGGGAGGTAGATGCTAATACATGCCTCTAAAAAAAAGAACAACTTCATTCTAACAAAGGAATAATTATTTTTTAAACTAATAAGGAAATAATTTGTACCTATACAACTAAAACATAACCTTATCTACCCTAAGGCAGAAGATTTTTGAGGAATATCACATGTTTTAATGGAAGTTCTAGAGCAAATAGTAGCTTCTATTATTAATTAACTGCAATGGTAAATTTTAATTTGGATTTTCTTTTGAAAAGCATTCATGGAATTATAGCCAAATAAGCAAAAGCATACAATTCAACTTCATGCTCACAGAGCAATTTCATTAGTACATTTCATGAAATTTGGCAGCTCTTTTGTTAAATTCCTGACTTCTCAGACATTTTGCAATAGAACTGAAAGACTTAAAGCTACTTTAGTCAAATACTACAAGCAGATTTAATCTGGACTTGAATTCTGTTGTCATCGGCACCCATTCATATATAGTAGAGATGTTTTACCTCAGGTAGAATCTTTATTCTAAGAAAGCAAACTAGCAATTCCTTGCTTTCTGAGAACTGTTTTTAAAACACGTCCTTAGTAGCACCCTCTACTAATGTCCTGGATTTTGGTAAGCATGGTGATTGCTTATGGTCAAGTTCTTCCAATTCGATGACACAAATCCTGGGGAATTATGGATAGACCTCAGTGTATATTTTTTGATGTTTGTGGTTTTAAATTTAGTGTGCATAGGTCACCAGCTTGCACGGGTGGTGTCATTTTCTTCTTACAAGAGATGTATGGGAGAATTAGCTGGACACTGGCAAGAATGTTGATTGAAATCATCACTGGGAATCAACAATTTTTAAAAACATTTAGGAGCCCAGCTTTTTTTTTGGTGAGAATGCATCTCAAAAATAATCACTAAAATCAATGCTGGAATTCAATATACTGATATAGGTTTCATTAAACACATTTTTAGTATGAAATGATATAAAGCTGTATCATTAGAATTGCTCCTAAACTGTTCTAATCCATAAGTCTCTTAAATCGATGTGATAGTTTCTTGAGTGGTTTTTGTGCTTTTCACTTTAAATTTTATTGCTTAGCATTACCTTGATGCCATTTTTACAGGATATTTAAATAAATTTGAGCAGAAGAAGAAATGGAAAGCAAATAGTTATAGGAGTCAATTTTGTCTTTCAACTGGTGTAATGACTGAAGAACATTAATTGATTGTTACATTTCAAATACATAGAGATATGAATGGTTAAAGTCATTCTGTAAAAATAAAAAACGTAAGCAATAATAAAATTTATTTTAATATCAAAGTTATAGGTTGGGGTGACTGAAAAAACATTGGTAGCAAAGTTTATATGTTTCTGAGAGTTTTGTTTTAAAAGCATGTTTTGAAGAGGAAGACAAGTAATATTAGATATGACATGAGAAGAAAATAAGCTTTAACTAAAAATGTAACGTGCTGACTGGGAGGCAGAAACAATTATATGTTTTACATGCTCAAATTAGTAAATAGCTGCAAGCAATTGTCACATTACATTTTTGTTCACCAGTGTTTAAGCAAATTAATTAAAGGATCTAAATCACATTTGTGTTTTTCAACCAAATGCTTTTAAAATGTTAACACTGACTACAAATAATCACCTAAGATGAAAAATTATTTTTAGTTTCTTTGTTCTTTAGCTTCCTATTTCTTTAGTTAATTTCCTAAAAATGCTTACTGTAAATTGAAAAAATTGCAAGTCCAGTTTTAGTGTTGCAGTATCAACTATGCCAATAAGAGTGGACAGCAATAAATACACTAGTGGTAGTTTCAGTACAATGTGCAAATTTTGATGATTAATTGGAAAAAGCCATTTTGTAGTGTGACTCTAAAGTCTATATTAGTTGTACATTGGGTAACTACATACTTACTTTTAGGCCCATATATCTATTTTTAACTTATATAGATATAGCTTCCTGATCAAATATATGCTTGGAAAAAATGTTTGTTTTCTTTGTAGTCTGATAGGAAAGGGAAGGTTACATGCTTAAAAAAGAAGACTCAAATCTTTTGTATTTATAACTTTGGATTCTAGAAAAAGCTGTGAAAAAACTGAGTGCGAGAATTTTGAATACAAGTG